CGAATGCGTCGAACACAGATACAATGCATAAGTCGTAATATGAAGGCGAATCAAGACTAAGCAGAGCGGGCGTCGCGGAGGCTATACAGTTAAAGCGTTAGCTTCTAAGTGCTCAATGCAACCTAAAGGCCATTCGTCAGATTATATATAATTTCCCTACAGATTGTCGCACTATTTAGGCATCGTGAGAAAAGACATTGTTTCTCATAATCGGCTTTCATGAATCACTGATATTGTGTCTTGAGAGCTTTACCATTCGTGCAGTGCAGCGCTTGAGAAAATCGCGTAAAGGATTGCGATATAGTCGCGATAGGCTTGCTATACCGTCCTGTAACCCCACGAATTGTCACCTGCTCGGCTTTCGTTTTGTTATCTATCATGTCGACTTTGAACTTAACTGCTTCGAACTCGTCGTCGTTTAGTAGGATCAACATTATGCTTTTCTGAAACATTCACGACTATCGTTGTCTTCTGGAGAATCCGATTTGCTGTCGTATGAGTGCTAATGCTGCAAGGGTTCCTGGCTAGGATTTTGTCTCTCCACCTCGAACGAGATTCCGCTATACTCACCATTTGATGGTGGCAATGAGAGCTTTATTGAAGACCACCCAATGATTCAATATTCAGCTTATATGCTCAAGTCCCTCGTGTGTAGTGGACACAGCATAAATTTAGGCTTATTGCGTGTAATAAACACCGAATATACATATTATGTTTGTTATGCAGAATGAAGCCGACCACGACCTTTGTCGTCGTGAGAATCAGACCACTCGGAAGCGAGGCTTCAGGCCTGCTGGCTTCCCTGGCATCATCTACACTTCCAACGGCTCCTCCTACGGACGTCCTCTGAAACGATGCTCTTCTCTCGTTTCTGGAACACTTACGTCATCATCAATCTTAGCCTTATTCATTCAATCTCGTTGATCCTTGATAGAGCCCTTATACCGCCCCCATTCCACCAAAACGTTCGTCCATGGACGTTGAGCAAACGGACGGAGATCAACGAGAAGGAGTGGATTAGGTAGTAGAAAAGAAAATAAAGAAGCGAAACAAATCTGTGGAGGGAAAAAGAACAGAATCGGAAGGAACAGTAAAGAACGGCAGGAATGTAATCGTGAATACTCACCCTTGACTAGCCCTGTTTACACGAAAATGACGGGAAGATTGAAAGTATCACTGTGGCTTCCGGCCCACTGGATCACAAGTTTTCAGCGTAAGAGATGCTGCAGCGCACGCAGGGAACCTAATACGATCTGCCCATGTTGGTAGTAAGTCGGAGCCCAATTTATCGTAGCGATGTAGTTCAAAAAGTTGCTCGACGCATTTGAGCCTCAACATCCGAAAGTTCACTTAGGAAATAGCGACGTCTATCTCTCGTCCCTGTACGGAGTCTACAGTTCGAAAGGCTGCTCCCAGTCGCGTTGTGTATTTCTGGAGTCGGTTCATTTGCTCTTTGTAAAATGTGATGACCCCGATAGGCATGCGCCGGCACATTACGAGATAGGAGTCCCCTGATGATGTCACAGCAGCACTGCCCTTTCCTCCTCGTTGTAATGAGACTGGGGTAAGATTGCCGCGAGGTCCCGAGGACGTTGACGAAAACGAAGGGGACTCGTGGGTTCGGGAAGGGATAGGTGGCGTATCAGACGAGTGCGCATGTGCGCAGGGGTTCCATAGAGAAGCGTCCCTCTATACACCAGAAGATTCGGCAACTATTTGAGAGCTGGATGAGCTCGGAATGTCGTTACCATAGGTGCAACGTGGCGAGTTCCGCATTAATAAGTCCCATGACGCACTAACGGCAGCCAATCTGTTCCTCGGTGGGCATCTCAAGTGAGGTTGGAACTGATGGACGTCTCCAATATAGATGTGAGATGCCTGCAGAAAACGAGTGACCATGGCGACGCCAGACTGGCTTCGGTGGAATTGCAGCTTCGGCCGCCGATAATTCGTCCGACAATAACGCAACCAATAATCATAGAAGAGACTCCCTGACGAGGGTTGAAGTTGAGCGAGCCGCCATGGCGTCAGAGGTCCGGTGGAAACTGGAACGCGGACAGTAAGGCGAAACGGATGGTGAGCCTTCGTAGGCTACGCAGTCTCTACGCGTCATCTGTACTGTTCGCGCTCTCGTGTCGGTCTTTCGAGATGAAAAAAGGGAGAGTCATTAAACAACGGCGCCATGCGTGTAGCGCCCAAGTCGATTATTTCCTGAGGCCTGCGAGGCACTCTCGTTAGTAGTTGTCCAACACGTTCATGAAGGATCGTTTGGGGTCCACAGGAGTTAGCGGGGCGCCCTCCTGCAGCTCTGTATCGGCAACAAAACGCAGAATTGTATGGTGCCGGCATTCCTCAAGGTTAAGGAGAGTATCAGTGAACTGGGCTATGCCACATTTCTGGTAGGCGGTCGCGTAGCACGCGAGATTCGCTCGCGCTTGCGGCGACAATCGCGCTGCAGATCAGAGCGCCGCCGAGGTTTTTCGGTGTCCCGGTGCGAAAAGCGGTCCTGTATTTGGCGAGCTATCGGGTGCCGTCTCGCGCCCCCATCGCAGCGCTCGCGCTGGTATCCGTCGCGCCAGTCTGAACACCGGCGAGAGGTCCCGACACACGACGGACACGTTCGAATCAAGGTGGAGCGGTTTCGTCGAAGCGATGCGTTCGCTGACTTACCGGCATTTAAACCGGGTGTCCGAGATGTATCTGTGCGAGGGGTAGAAACTGTCTGGTGTTGGGGGGAGGCTGGCGATACGCGCGGGAGTGGGGGAGTAAGGTCCTCGCGTCTCGAGCCGCGTTCGAATCCACAGGATCGGTGCTGGGTGGTGCGAGGGTGAAACTGGGAGTCTCGAAGCCGGAGAGAAGGTTCTCGGTCCCCAGGAGTTCGAACACAGGATCCGTGCCGGTCTGGACGCGGGCGAGTCGCACGCACACGCGAACTTCAGCGGTATTTCTGCTACTATCAACACGGCCGAATCGTAGCACCGCGGACCGTAATGTCTCCTTGCGAGCGAGGGTCGACGTGAAGCTCCGGAAAAGAGAGTCCCAGAAGGAAAGTCGTATCGAGTGCCTGCGATCCGCGCGCGAGCCATAGAGTGGAGTTGACGATCCAAACATCGACAGGCGCGGGATCGTGTCCAGCCGCCTTCCGAAGCCATTGAACGAAGCTCGACCTGCAACCGAATCGGAAAATGCGTCCGTGCTTGGGAATGAAAGCTACAACTTCGTGAGTGTTCTTGTCCTCTGTCAAGAAGGCTTGAGAGGCAAGCGCAGCGCTTGCAACAGCGAAAAGCTTGCCCATCCGTCGTCGAGCCACTGTCGGCCGTTGCCTATGGCCGTTAAAGGCGGCGAGACGCTTGTCGATCCACAGACGGTCCTACTGACAGTAACTAAGTAACTGCTGATAATGGATCGGATGATTCTCAGAGCCTTTGCTATAGCGGCCCATTTCTCCGGTTGATAGGACCATCCAGGTGAACGGGTTGATAAGTGTGCTTGGTGACCCTCCATGAGGCAGTCTTGCATCTTGGTATCGATGAAGAGGTGATGAATCACTATGCATAAATTCAGTCACCAAGACATTTATCTCAACAATTGTCACAGCCTCCACCCGCTTCCTAATGTCCTTTCCGACCGGAGTATTTAAATCGAAAATCCAGCCGGCATTACGCAGATTTTTCAAGGCCAACCGGAGTGGATTCGTCATGACTTCGAAAGAATAATCAGTTTTTGTTGTTTTCCTGTCTCGAGTTAGACTTCCGATATATGGAAGAGTTGGTCCTTTCTCCCGAGTACATATCGTCGAGTCGTTTTCGAAGCTAGTGTCCATTAAGACCGTCAGGTGTTCATGTAAACCCCCGGTGTCGGGGTTTTGCACATTCGGCAGATCGAGTTTTCTAGAAAAGATAGAAACGTATAACACAGTGGATGTGGCACTGTCACACCGGATATGTCGTTTCGCTGCCAGGAAGACTCCCTAAGGTGTTGTGCGAATGTGTAATCAGAGCCTGGGAGTTGCGCGATCGGTCTACTTAAGCTGTAGAGGAAGAAGAGGTAGCTGTCCCTCTCGGCAGAAGCTAACATAGACTCCAGTCGTGTGATCTTCGAACTCGACCCGACTAAGGAAAGTTTTCTCCTGGCTGCTCTCTGTACTGAGTTTGTTTTCTCGAATGTATGTATGAATGCTTGGGCAATTCCTGCTGGGCTCCCGTCAAGCAGCGTTGACATGAATCTTGGCAGCATAGGAGTATACAGTGCCATGCGATCACATATCGTCCTCCTCTCATCATTGTCAATTTGACAGGACGAATGTTTTTAGCTAGAGGGGTCTTCTGCCCAGCAATCGACCAGTCGATGTGCTGTTTTAGTTATCGGATTGAATGCCGCCAGAGTGCTCTTTGACGGTAAATTGATAATGTTGCAAGTCTTGATATAAAGTAGATATCTCATGCTGTTGACGCAATCGACAGCCGCGAAACCACGCGTCATATGCGCCAGCATCGTGTTGAGGATGCATATCGTCAACGGTTGCAGAATATTAAGCTTGTCAATTCCATTAGGCGAGTATCGTCTTTTTCTATCCAGAGTGAGGTCGCATTGTCTAAATCGTGGTGTGATATATCGCTCACGATCTTCCACTTCATAATAGCAAGGTTTTCTTTGTGCCAGTTAAGCAACCTCGAGGATCGGCGGAGTCCATTCTTTAGCCCACCTGTAGGCTATGTAATTCTCGTATAATGCGATGAAATAGGGCAGAATACATGTATAAGAACATTCACAAGCAGCCTCGAAAGCTGAAAAATCTCCGATAGCATTAATGCTTAGTATGACGGGTAATTTTCATTTGTTGCGTGCAACATACGGCAGATCCGTTTCATAGGGAGCATCCTGTCACTATGGAATAGAGTCTTGCCATAGGCGAAGAGACTACTTGAAAACCAGGTTTCGCTGGTTTGATGGGCAGACCGAGATCGCGGAAGAAGGCTATGGTGAATTCCCAGAATTTTTCAGAAGCGAAGCCGTGCCTCATCTCGGGATCGTTCTTGAATGTATGGATCTTCTGAATCTCCGTACCTCAAGGGAATCTCCAAGACGAGGACTTGGTTATCACCAGATCCGAGTATATCAGCCTTGAGACCGTTCTGGCGAGCGCAGTACGTCAATGCTGCACTGGTTACAATAGTCCACCCCTTTTGTCTCAGGCCTTCGACACCTCCCAGGTGGTGTCTCCAGCTCAGTGCTAAGGGGTCATTACCGAATTTGTCAGCATCAGGAATCAGATAGTCATCTGCTGAATAAAAAACCGATGTGGAGAAGATTGAGTGGGTGCGACGTATGACGTTCCGGTATCCCAATAGCTTGTCTATCTCCTTAAAGCTCGGTCGCACCAGTTTATCTCTTTGATGATTATTCCATTTTTCAAAATCAACATTCACCACGAACGTGTAATGATGTTTTCAACGATTTCGACACATGCACCATCTTTCGTAGCAGTTCTGAACCGGTATGTTTCATCGTTATGGAAGGAAGGTATGGAAGGAGACAATGTGCTAGCAACGCTTCCGTCGCCGTGATGTAAAGTCTTAATTCGTATGTCATGAGACTGAACAGTCGGGGCACCCTCTTCATCTCCCTCTCTTTTGGAGTCAGTCCGATGACCCTGTAGTCCTCATCGAGCCCGTAGTTGTCGATGTACTCAAGGAATTTCTTGATATCATAGCCAGAGAAGTCAGATAGGATAAGAGGACCCTTCGAGAGTCGGATCGAGAGGAGAGGACTCCTCCAGATGCTACCATCCTCCTCCGATCGATGTTCGTCGGACATTGCTGAACAGCTCACGTCATCGATCCTTAACGTGATTCATCCGAATCGCGTTGATTCCTGACGGAGCAGCTAAGGCTCTTACAACAGAACATGAGATCAGTAGGGAGTTAGTTATGTAGCAGTCTTTTTTTCCCGTGAAAGTTCTGCTTTTGTAGAGCTCACAGTCCTTCTAACTTCATTAAGATGCTGCAGACGCTTTCCCTTCCGAAGCTTCGTCATTGTGCATTCTATGCATTAAGTCCAAGCACGTGCATCACAGCGTAACAGTCAATCTTGTACTTTCAAAGCGGCACACATGATGATTCCGACTTTGTAGAGATCTGGGAAAAGTTTCAACGTTTGGCAGAGGCGCATTCAGTTTATTGTTCTTGGAATGTTTAAATTACTGACTGCCTGGCATCTTATTACGCAGAGACTATTACGCTTCAAACTTGACGATGATGAACCCCTTCGAAAATCGTAATCATATTGTTGGGCAAGTTTTCCACGTCGAGCGCTTCCTTTCCAGAAAATAGTAAAATGCAAGTTTGCGGCAATGTTCAAGGATCTGAAGTTTAATTGTGGAGCGGGAAATGCAGTCAAGAAATTCTTACGGGACTATTCAATGAGCCTTCACCATACATGTGGATAATTAGATACACCAGCAGGATTTCATTTGCATGAGATGCAAATGGATTGATAAGTCGATAAGAAGTACAGCACGAATAATAGCAGGAATATGCGAGGCTTTTTTGCACGTACGGCAGCAGTCTAGCCGTCTTCGTCACCGGTGATTCATCGTCGCATCGTGACCGGTGAATAATCGTGAAGACACTGCAAACCGAAGGGCATATCGACTCCAACATATCGATATCGACTCCAACCCGCATTTGAGAAAGAAAGGCAGGGATAGAGTAGTAATAATTGGTGCCGATCATTATAATTTCTGTTCGAGGCGAGATCTCCCGGACCGAATCCCACCCATTCGGATTTCTGTTCTATCCAAAGTCGACAAACTGGCCCCGAATCCATCTTGCGCAATCGCTGACTTATAACCGTGTAGCCAAAGTGCCAACAGTGAGTGAATGGAACCAGCAAAACCCTCTCCCCCCCACCAAGCCAAAATGCGCTCTGATTTCCTCTATAAAAACTTGAATATTCTCCGTCATTGTGTCCAGAACATCTTTCGGAGTTCGAAGCCATTGTTCGCTCCCGTGAAAAGCACTCGGAGCCAAGGAGAGGCTTAAATTGTCGCCGCCGGCTAGTACGAGGGCGATCAAAAATCAACAAAATTTCATTGCATTTACGAACAGAGCGATGAAAGGATTCATTTCCTGATGGTATCCACACAACGGTGATGTTGTCGAAGGTAGCGCTGTGAAAAGGACACTTCCTGCCTCTGGGAACATTTTTCCAATTTTCGACTCCCCAGGTTTCCTTCTCCGGCGCGACCCTCCTTCCCCAAGCTACTCACCTTCGTTCTGAGTTAGCCTGACTTCCTGCCACATTTTCCAGAGTTTTTGTTCGGAATCTGCCGTTGAGCTAGGGAGGGGAGAGGATGGGGAAGGAGGTGGTCATCAAAGCAGGTTATCACTAAGCAAAGCCCTAAGGGCAGCGAGCAAATGCGATCCCTCCCCAGCGGGATACATCATTGGTTGGAGATGTCGGTCGAGTCCGTCCGTACGACCCCCCCCCCTTTTTTTTAAAAAGGGGTTGGCACGATCCCCCTCTGGTTTCCTCCTCATCGAGATGTCGAGCGCGGGAAGGGATAAATAGTAGAAATAAGACAGGGAAAACCAGAAAAGTCAGCAACCTCTCTCAAAGGGTCAGAGGGGAAGACAATCTTCCCTCTCTTACCAG